GGCCCTTGACCACTTTGCCTGACCTTTAAAATGACTTTCTGGGGCTCCCCTGGTGGTTCAGTGGTAAAGAATCCGCCTACCAATGCAGGAGACACGGGTTCTATCCCTCATCTGGAAAGATCCCACACTCTGCACAGCAGCTAATCCCATGTGCCACAACTCCTGAGGCTTCGCCCCAGGGCTCAGAGCCCCAGCTACTGAAGCCCACACGCCCTGGAGCCCGCATTTCACAAGCGAAGCCACCACAGTAAGAAGCCCTTGCAACGCAGCTAGAGAGTAGCCCCTGCTCACCACAACTAGAGAAAAGCCCACACGGCAGCGAAGATCCAGCCCAGCCGAAAAGAAGTAAAATGACTATTTCTGAGTGTGTGATAATTAGTTGTAATTATTATTATTCAAAATGACAAATCTTGAAGTCACCACCAGCCCAAAGTGCCCCAGACCCTTTCCTGGTTGGTAATGAATCAGAGTGTATCAATCCTGTTCACAGAGTTGGAGTTATTTGTCATGATTTCCTGGTTCTCGCCCACCTTGAGTCTATGGACCATTTTTCTGTCTGCTCAGTATCTGGAAATTTCTTGTAATTCATCCTCATTGGCTTGGCTTTCTTCTCCTGGAGAAATTCAGTGTTATTTTTATGCTTGGAGAGCTCACTGTGTTCTCTACCTTCCAGTCTTGTTTTTTAGTTAGAAAACTACAGAGAAGTACAAAGAATAACATGACAAGTTTAAAGCCCATCTTTCCCTCAAGACAGCCACTCTGCTAAAATCAGTACGTAGCCTTCCAGTTTACACTTTTGTACTTTTACTACAACATACAGTATTGTCTTTTTAAGTCTTTGCAAATGATGTATCACCTGAAAGTAAGTTCCTTTCACTCAATATGGGTTTTGAGGTCTTATCATGTTTAAACCCACACCCAGCGCCATTCCAAGGACTAAGAATACAACTGAATAAAACAAACTCCTCTCCTCATGGGTTTTTATTCTGGAAGGGTGGGGAGGCACAGGTGGTATGAATGGGCCACAATGTATTAATTTATTGGTGGCCATTGGCTTACTGTTACAGATAACATTCCAGAGGACATTTCTGTGTCCCTGTGTGCCTGTGTTCTGTGTACATACTTTGCAAACTTCTCTTAAAGGGTCTGACAGTACGTTTTTCAGACTTGTGAGCCATGTCCGCAGTCACAACTATTCACTTCTGCCCTTCTCGAAAGGGGACTTACATAAGCAATATGTAAACAAATTATCTCTTTTTGGCTGTGCTGGGTCTTCAGCGCTGTGAGTGGGCTTGCTCTAGCTGCAGCGAGCAGGGGCTGCTCTCCAGTCGCAGGGCAGAGGCTTCTCGTTGCAGTGGCCACTCTCGTCTTGGAGTACAAGCTCTAGGTGTATAGGCTTCAGTAGCTGCAGTGTGTGGGCTCAGTAGTTGTTGCGTGTGGGCTCTAGAGCACAGACTCAGTAGTTGTGGCATCCAGGCTTAATTGCCCTGCGACCTGTGGGATCTTCCCAGTCCAGTGATTGAATCCATGTTCCCTGCATTGGCAAGCAGATTCTTAATCCTTGGACCACCAGGGAAGTCCTAAACAAATTATTTATGAACACTGGCTTTGTGTGATTTTTACATGTGATAAAATATTCTTTTGATTTTTTTCCAGCCATTAAAAAAAATGTAACACTCATTCTCAACTTGGGGTGTACATATCTCGGCCCACAGGCCAAGTCTGCAGCAAAGACATTACTCCAGAGCCTGTATAAAGACATTCTGGGGCTTCCCTGGCAGTCCAGTGGTTAGGACTCAGTGCATCCACTTCTGGGGCAGAGGTTTGATCCCTAGTCGGGGAACAAAGATCCCCATGTGGTGCGTGTTGTGGCCAAAAATGAAGGGGGGCGGGGGAAGTGCTCCCAACCCAGTTTCAGATGAAAACAGGAAGTGTGAGTGGAAGCTATCCACCCACTCCGGCCACTGAGAAATAACTAGGAAAGCCTTGAGGAAGCTGGAAGGATGAATAACAGCCAGGGGTCTCTGGGGCCAGGCCCTTTGAGAGATCGTTTCAGTCTGCCTCAGCCCACATGTATCAGAACCAGTAACTTTCTCTCTGCCTGGTCTTTACTCTCTCACGGGTGGGGCTGAAACCTGGACTGACCAGTCATCCAAGAAGTACATCTCTCTGAACAGGAAGACAGTGTAATAAGAATGACGGGGGCTCGGGAAGGGTGGCCACAAATCCTGCCTGGCTCTGCCCCCAATTTGTTCTATGATCTTGGACCTTTCCCTTCTCTGAGGCCAACCCTTGTCTATAATGGAGATTATGCACACTCGGTTGATAGGATGAAAGACGAAAGTGTAACGGAAGGTGCCTGGCATATAAGAGGTGCCCTGTAATTTTCTGCCAGCATTCACCCAGATTCTCTCCGTATGGGATGGAGGCCAGAACACCTCCGTGGCCAGACAGTCCCACTTCCTCTGAAAACAGCCCACCCCATCCTTCAACACCTCGGGTGGTTAGAACACTCTCTTCTTGAGCTGAAAATTGACTGGCCATGGCTTCCACTCCCTAGCCCACTTCAGGTCCCTGAAACCACGCAACAACCCTCTCCTCTTTGCCAGACAAAACTGCCAGTTTGCGGACATTCCTGGTGGTCCAATGGTTAAGACTCTGTGTTTCCACTGCAGGGGACACAGGTTCAATCCCTGGTCTGGAAAATAAGGTGCCACATGGTGCAGCCCCTTCACCAAAAAAAGTTTTTAAAAAAAAAAAGTCTGCTTTTTTCAAATCAACATCTTGAGTCCTTTCACCATTCTGGCCACCCTTGTTAGAATTAGCATTTTCTGAGCCAAACATCTGACACACCTGCACTGTAAGTGAAAATTAAAATTTGGGTCTAGAGCTGGCCTGGTCACAGGTGAGGAAGGCAGAACACAGAGATTCAACAGTTAAGAGCTGAAGACCCTGGCACAGCGCAGACCTTGGCTCTGCTATTTTGGGGCAAGTCATTTAACCTCTTCAAGATCAGATTCATCTTCCGTAAAGGGGGAGATCTTTCTGGTAAGTTTGTCATAAGGCTTATTAAAAGAGTGAATTTGCCAATTTGCAGGAAGTGCTCCTTGGACTGCAAGGAAATCAAACCAGTCAATCCTAAAGGAAATCAACACTGCATATTAATTGGAAGGACTGACACTGGTGCTCCAGCACTTTGGTTACCTGATGCAAAGAGTCACCTTACTGGAAAAGACCCTGATGCTGGAAACACTGGGGGCAGCAGAAAGGGTGCCAGAGGATGAGATGGTTGGATGGCATCACGGACTCAATGCACAAGAATTTAAGCAAACTCTGGGAGATTGCAGAGGACAGGGAAGCCTGGTGTGCTGCAGTCCGTGGGGCTGCAAAGAGTCAGACATGATTTAGTGACTGAACAACAACAGGGAGTGCCCAACACATTATCTGGTGTGGGCTGTGTACTCTGGAGGTCCTTAAGGCAAGGGAGAGGAGGCATGATTGTGAGAACTCTTGCCCTGCCTCCCAACAGTTCTGTTAAATTCACCCCTTTCTTCCCATGAAGGTGGGCCCAGAACTGGGCTTAATCAGTTGCCTGGCCTAAGGTAGAGTGGGGACCAGGGCTGTCCAGCATGGCCAGGACCAGAAGCAGGTCGCGAATTGATTCACAGTTGATGGCCCTGCCAGCTGTGACCACCAGGGGGCACCCCCACCCCAGAGACGGCCTGGCCCAGTCAGACACACCCACTCCTCTTCCCAAGACTGTTCTGGCACCTGGTGGGGTGAACTGGGAGGAAAAGTGACAGTCTCAGATGCAGTCGGCCACACTGCCCCAGGCAGGCCCCAGGGCCTGTGGAAAACGCTCAGACCCGAGGCAGAAGTCTGGGTTATAACACTGACTCTGCTATCCCTGACCTTGGGCAAGCCTCTTCGCTCACTGACCCAGTTCACGGTGTTGGAACAGACGCCGAAAGTTCTTCCAGCCTGGACAGCGCGTGGTTCTTGGCTTTGAGGCCAGGTGGTTTCTTCTTTCTCACCCCAGCCCTTCTCCCCGAAGGGCAGCACACACTCGTCCGCTGGCAGTGAACCCCGCCAGGGAAGCCACCTGTCCCAGACCCTCAACTCCAAAGCGCTGAGGCACTGGCTGGGGGTGGGGGCGGGGGGGCGGTTAGTGCAAGAGGAGGAGGAAGGACAAGGTCAGGTGACCCAAGAGCCTCAAAGGGTCTTGCTTCATTCGGGACAGACATCCGGTTTCCTCTGGTCTCTGCCAGGATTCCGGGGGCAAAGGGATGAGTCATGGGGGGATTGGGGAGTTCCCAGATAATCAGTTCAGGATGGAAACTGGGAGGATGCCCATTAAAGTGTGGGGTGGGAACAGGAGGCCAGACCCCAATGTCCTTATCTCAGGTCTCTGGCCCCTCAAGAGGGCAATCAGAGAGTCAATTTCTATCGCCTGGGACTTGGGGGGGATAGAAATGAGGCAACTAGCTTCTTCCTCCTCCAAACTGGGGGCCTGGGAGCAGGTGGTTTAAGGATCCCAAGAGAGAGTGGTTAATGGGCCTGACTCAGGAGATACGCCAGGGGAGGAAGGGAGGGAGGAGGGCCCCAGGCCTGCCTCTTCCTTGAGGTTCAACCAGACTCCAGCCTCCCCGGCTTTTATCGTTGGCTCCATTTGGTTCAGCGGTTCAGTTCAAACACCCTGGGGCAATTCAGACCTGGGTGGGGCTGAGGGGAGGAAGGGAGTTTGAGGGGGGCAAGACGTCAAAGAAGAATCAGAGATTCCACAATTTCACAAAACTTTCGCAAACACTTTTTTTTTTGGTCCCAGCCCCCCTGCACTGTCCTGGACAACAAATTTGCATAAAACTTGGGAAGCTATTACTAAGCGTTAGTCGCAGCACCAGGTAATTTCCTCCCAGGCCTCCATGGGCTTAAATATAAAGGCCCCCGGAGCTGGTCCCTGACAGAACCCAGAACCTACAGACCCACCCAGACCCCTGGCTGAGCCTTCTGCCCAGAGCCCCATGAAGCTGATGGGTGAGTGTCTGGGTCCCGGGAGGGGAGAGCTGCGGCAGCGGGCAGGGGTGCCTGGGCTTCCAGAAAGGTCTGCACTTCTCCTGAGCCCCCGTCTGCTCCCAGCCCTGCAGCTGCTCCTCTGGCACTGCGTGCTCTGGATGGTGCACGAAGCCACCCCCCTGGGCCCTGCCCGCTCCCTGCCCCAGGGCTTCCTGCTCAAGTGCTTAGAGCAAGTGAGGAAAATCCAGGCTGATGGCGCCGAGCTGCAGGAGAGGCTGGTGAGTGAGGGAGGCCAGCGTTGGGACGGGGAGGTGACAGAGATGCTGCAGCAGGGCAGAGAGGAAAGAAGGCACACGGGGAGAGCTGAGGGAGAGAGCGGGGCTGAAGGGAAGCGTGGGAAAGAGCAGCAGGAAGGGACCGGGGCGAAGGAAGACCCTGGGGAGGGCGGCTGGTGAGGAACTGGGGGAAGAACCTCTAGGCGACAGTGAGAAGGGTTGGCTGGGAGCTTGGATGGAAGAAGAGGGCTGAGAAGCCTGGCAGGACAGGTGGGGAGGCGGAGATGTGGAGGTGGAGACATGGGGCCGCTGGGGGGCGGGGAGGAGGAGGAGCTGCCCCCTCACCCAGCATCCTTCCCACCACAGTGTGCTGCCCACAAGCTGTGCCACCCGGAGGAGCTGGTGCTGCTTGGGCACTCTCTGGGCATCCCCCAGGCTCCCCTGAGCAGCTGCTCCAGCCAGTCCCTGCAGCTGGTGAGTCCCGAGGGGAGAAGGGAGATGAGGGGGCGGGGGGGTAGGCTGACCTGGAAGGCTCCCCAGTTCTCTAGGCTCCACGTGGGGGCCCTGAGGGGAGCATCCCAGGCGGTATCTGCTGACTCCCACCCGATCCCCCAGACGAGTTGCCTGGACCAACTGCACAGCGGCCTCTTTCTCTACGAGGGCCTCCTGCAAGCCCTGGCGGGCATCTCCCCAGAGCTGGCCCCCACCTTGGACACACTGCAGCTGGACATCACCGACTTTGCCACCAACATCTGGCTGCAGGTGAGTCTCATTGGGAGCAACAAGCTTTAAGGGCCAGAACCTAGCTGGTCCCCAAAGGTGGTGCTGCAAGCCTGGGGCCCTGGAGTTCTCTAGGGCTGAGCCAAGTCCCTGGACCTGGTTCTTGTCCTGGCTCCACTGTGAACCCTGGATCTTCCACAGCCCATCAGCCCCTGGCCTTCCCTTCCTGTGCTAACACACCCTGACTGCTGACCTCATCTTCCCCCACAGATGGAGGACTTGGGGGTGGCCCCGGCTGTGCAGCCCACCCAGGGCACCATGCCAACCTTCACCTCGGCTTTCCAGCGCCGAGCAGGAGGGGTCCTGGTTGCTTCCAAGCTACAGAGTTTCCTGGAGCTGGCATACCGTGTCCTGCGCTACCTTGCTGAGCCCTGAGCAGAGCTCTTCCCCTCTAGTGTATTTATCTCTATATTTAATATTTATGCTTATTTAAACCTAATATTTAAAGACAGGAAAGCACAGAAAGGAGCCCCAGGCTCCTGGGTCCTTCCTTCCACCTCCATGTGGGGAAACCCCCCATCTTCTGTACCGGGGCTGGGAGGGAGTTGGTAAATACCAAGTATTACTTCTTGTGGCTGTTCCAGGCCTGGCTCTGTGGTGGGTTCTGGGGAGAGCCACAGTGAACCCCTACCCTGAGGGTGCCCACCTCGGGGCCTTTGGAAGCATCGGGAAGTCTCCTAAGTGGGAGACGAGACAGCCCTGTTTAATATTTAAACAGCAGTGTTCCCCAACTGGGTCCTTGCCCCCTGGCTCCAGCCCTGCATTCAGGCATGAAGCCCAGCAGAGGCAGCTGGAGTGGGATGCTTGACCCTGGGGTCCCACAAATTTGCTGGGGAAACTTCTTCTTTTTAAGACATTTTTCAGGCACATTTTGTGCCTCCTCATGTGGGGAGCCCAGGCATTAGTGACGCCTCTTGTTTTTCTGGATGTGCTGTAGACGCCATGAGCCTCAGGACCCTGCTCCACCCCACTGGGGTTGGGGTCAGGATTCTGACTCTCTTCTGGGCTGGGCAGATGGTTGTGTGTCTCTGCCTTGCTGAGTGAGACTGGGAATGCGGAAAAGAAAGATGAGGGGGCTTGTGTGACGGGGTGTGAGAGGAACACTCAACTGTTCACTTTCCACCCCAGCCCCCACTTTCTCCCTGTAGCCAAACTTCACGATAATAAAGTGTTTGTCTCCAGTAAATGGCCTTCCTCCTTCCTGAGTCCAGCTGGTGCCTGGCCAGGGGTTGCGGGTGGGGAGTTGAATGGCGGGCGAGGCTCGAGGGAGGGAAGAGGAGGTGCGGTCGTTCCTTGGCACCCACTTGGTATAGGCGCCAGGCCGGGTGCTGGGGCACAGCGGTAATGAGGCAGGCTCCCTGCCCTCGTGGAGCCACAGCCTAGCGGGGAGGACACGACGCAGATGGGTCAGCAGTACCAGGAGAGGAGAGAGTGGGCTGGGGGCTCAACACTCCAGATGCAGATGGATGTGGGCCTGACGCAGGGGAGGATTTAGTATTCGCTTCAGTCTACCACCTTCCATAAACCTTCACCCTCCTGTGCTCACAGCTGCCCATAAAGATAGGATTATGAAGGGCCTTTTACACAGACCAGGGAGCTGAGGTCAGGGCAACAGCTTGGATCAGACCCCAAATTCCAGGCTCTGCACTTCTCTCCCTCGTTGAGCTCTGCTTCTGACCTGGCGGGGAGCCCGTCGCCTGAACTCACACCTGGGGAGAATGGAGGGGCCGCTTCACAGCACAGGTCCGAGGCAAGCCTCTCGGCCAAAGACTGCACATGTGCTTCTGGGCTGCTGCCACCAGACCCAGGACGCCCAGACAGCCAACCAGTCCCCGGGTCCCTTCCCAAGATTCCCATCCTCGGCTCGAGCCGCCTCCCACTCCCCTTCCCCACTGGCTCCTCAGAAGCAGGGTCAGGCTGAGGGGGCTAGAATCCTGAGCTGTGCAGCTCAGGGTGCCCTCCCCCTGCAGCTGGTCCTGAAGAAGCCAGGGCTTGGAGATGCGTGACACAGGCAGGGAAGGGTTAAACAGAGCTCCTGCCCTCATGCCCCGTGGCCCCTCAGCCCGGCTCACCCTCATCCCCCAAGTCAGTCCTCCTCCGGAGAGGAAACTCCCGGTCAGTGAGACTCTGGGTGGGGCTTGGAAGGGCTGGGAAACATCGGAACGAACAAGACACCCTACCCCAGCACCAGTGGGGCCCTCAGCCAAAACCTCTCCCTTTTCAGAGTAAATCTGACTTTGCGAGCAGGGGGAGACAGCTGGCAGGTATGAGGAAGGGAAGCTGCTCCCGTGCCCTGCCCTGCCCCTACTGAGCGGACAAACACGGGAAGCTGAGCCTAGCCCTCCCCTGAACACCTCGCCTGCCTGCTCTACCACCAGACCGCACGGGTGCCAAGAAGACAGTGCTCTCCGCCCACGTCAGACACGGGCACCGATGGTTCTAAAGGGATCCATGAGGCCTTTATTTACAACTGAGAGGAGGTAAACACACCTCGTGTAAAAAAAACATACATACATATTTATATATATACACACACACACACCCCCGACACCCGTGAAGTTCCTCGGAGGTAAATCCACTCCTGGAAGGAGGACGAGCAGGTGGTGGGGGTGAGGTGGGGGTTGTTGAAGTGAGCCTGCTCTGAGTTAAGGAACCAGGCTGCTCATGAACATAAGGTACTGGCAGTGGGGAGAGGAAATTATGAAAGAAACTGGGAGCCGTCTTAGAGGTCAGAAGTCAGGAGCAGGGGGAAAGATCTGGAAACTGACCAAGGGAGGTTACATCATGTGGATGTGAGCAACGATGGCTCATCGCGCTGCACGTTCCCTTCTGAGGCGCACGGGGAGGGAACCCTCCCGCCAGCCCCCGTGGCCACTCCAAGCCCCTCAGAGGGCGGCGATGGCTTTGGCGGCCACCTGGCGGCCCAGGGGCAGGCTGAGGTCCGTGATGGCCAGAACCACCTTGGGGCTAGACATGGCCGACACCTTCACCAGTTCCGATACCTGTCAGACAGACAGGAGCTAAGCGGGGTGGTGGTGGGCGTGATGTCTGGGGGAAGAAGCCCCTCCCTACTGGCCACTGGACCCTGAGCTCTCCTGAGGCTTGCTGACCCGCTCTGAGCTAGAGGGGGCCGGCTGGGGCCCGGGGGCGGGGGTTAGGGGGTACTCACGGTGGTAAAGGGCATGAACTGCAGGATGCTGCCGCGGCTGCCCTGCTCCAGGCAGTCCACGCACTCCTCCATGAACCACTGAACAAACTGCGTGTGGGGGCCGGCGGTTCGAGAGCCCAGGATGGAGGAAATAAGCAGGAACAGGTTGGCTATGTAGAAAAGAGGTGGGAAGGAGAAGAATTCCATGAGAAGGGCTTGGGAAGAGGTCAGATTCTGGGAGAAGAAAGAAGTGCCAAGGGTGTCCCCAAAATGGGGACATCAGAAAGAAAAAGTACTTAAGAAAGCTGAGGGCGAGCCAGAGAAGGACTCGATGGGGGCCTGGGGGAGAGAGGAGAGCTGGCGGTCAGGGGAGATGGGCCAGAGGTGAGGAAGGGAAGGAAGCATAGGAGATGAGGTTCGGGAGCCGGGGTGGGAGGGCGCACCCAGGACTCGGTTCAGCGGATCTCTCATGTTGACCGTGTGGAGCTGGGAGGCCGACAGGGAGCTGCTCATGGACCGGTCGGCTGTTGGGACAAATGCGGGAGCATAGAGGAAACGGCCTCCTGTAATCAAAACCAGTGTCCCAGGGGAAGCTCTCACCCTCAGGAGTGGCGGGCCCATGTGGAGAAGGTCCTTGGGTCCAGCCACATGGGGCCCAAATACAGACACCCCCACAAGCAGATAAGAGAGAAGAACTGACGATGGTGAGCACCACTAGGTACCAACCTGCAGGCTGTACACAGGTGAAACCACTAAATCCTCACATCTCCATTTTACAAAGAAGCAGAGACTAAGATTTGCTAAACTACTAGCCAAGGGTCACTAGCCAAGCAACTAGCCAAGGGGTCTGTGGGTGGCAGACCCTTCATCTTTCCTCTGCTCAAGCACACTAGTCCCCAATCCCTCAAGGCCCCAGAAGAAGCCCCAGGCTCAGGAGAAACCTCTGGAAACAGGAAAAACTAAATGCCACAGGACACCCCTAGGGAAGCAGGTGGGGGGGCTGTCCTCCTGACAGGAAGAGAGGGGAGCAGTCCTGTCCCAGCCCAGGCCTACTCCGGGCTTCAGGGCCCATTTCAGGGGAAGAAAGGTCAGGGCTGTGAGTCAAGGGCACAGTCTGTGCCTGAGGCAGTGAACTCACTGGGGTGAGGGGTGGGGAGGGGCCAGCTGTGCACCCTGGGCTGGGCTGGGATCTGGGTAGCAGAGCTCCAACCCTGAGGGAGAGATCACAGCCACCTCCAGCGTCTCCAGGGCAGGAAACCGAGCAGCCGTAGGGGACAGAGGGGGGCAAACGCCTACCACGCCCCCTCGGGCCAGCCAGAGGGATGCTGGGGCCAGAACAGAGCGGCTCTCTGCAGGAGGGAGCTCCCAGAAAGAAAGCTGCTGCCTGGCCCTGTCCACACACTCACTGGGACTTGAAAGGATATTTGCATCTTCCTCATTGGAGCTCAGCAGGCGCATCAGCTTCGAGGGCTGCATGTCGTCCAAGGGGAAGAGGCTGATGTAATCCTGGGGGGCAGGGGAGTCACATCACCACCCCTGCACCCCCACATCTCCCAGGATGAGAGAGGGGGCTGGAACTCAGCTGGGAGTCAAGTCCCCACAGGCCACAGGCAGTAACTCCCGGGGGGCACAGTCCCTCTCCCCACCCTCCCACCACCCTAGGGAGAGACCCTCCCCACACAGTGGCCCAGGGGCAGCGGCCATGCCTTGCTGCCTGTGCCCAGGAAGGCGCCTCTTAAAGAAAGGCTCAGCGCACGTCTGCGGGCAAGGGAACGGGAAGGGGTGCCCTCCTACCTCGATGTCTTCCCGGTGTCTCTTCTTTTGGCGGGAGGACGCCTGCCCCTTGTGGGAGGAGTAGGAACTCAGGGCACACCAGACGGCCAGCCTGGCAAAGGGGTCCAGGAGAAGGGGGGAATCAAAGGGGGCTTCAGTGCCCGCAGACCAGGCCCCACCAACAGGGCTTCCCCACAGTCCAGCTTCCGGGGCAGGGCCCAGGCAGGGCGCCCGACACCGGGCTGGGGGACTGGAGGCTCCGTACGGAACCCTACTTGGCGAGAGCGGTGCCAGGGGGGTCCATGAGGCTGTGCCACTTGGAGGAGTCGGTGAGCAGGCCCGGCAGGATGTGGCCCAGCAGGACCAGGGCCGCCTGCTGCATGTCCAGACAGAAGATGGAGTAGAGCAGCTCCACCGCACGCAGCGTGTACTCCTTCCGCGTCTCCTTCAGCAGCTCCTGGGGGGCAGAGGAGGGGGACCCAGGAGCTGGGGACCCTCAACACGGGGCAGTGACACCCCACCGCTCCCCTCAGAACCCAGGAGCACCCCAGGCGAGGACCGGCCTCTGGAGCCCAAGGAGCCTTCTCGAGCTGGGATTCGCCAGGCTGGGGAGCCAGACAAGCAGACCCAGCTCAGCCCCATCAGGCCTGTCTCTGGCAGTCTGAGGATGCCTGCGCCCAGAGCCCACCCCCAGCACTCCCGTACCTTAATCAGGTTGTTGCAGAACCAGTAGACACCGCCCATGTGCAGCAGGGTGTCAAAGATGTGGATGGAGCGGCTGTCCACCCATCCCTTCTCCAGCACCTTAGCAAATATGTCCGTCAGCACCTCCTTGATGGGCCGCTTGGGGGGCAGCAGGTTCCAGTAGGGCATGGTGTCCATGCCCGTGGAGGGGAACTTAATCTGCGTGGCAGTCTGCTGCAGCACGTCCGCACACATGTGCTCCAGGATGGAGCTCATGATCACCACCCTGGGGGGGAGGGAGGGAGGGCCAGCAGGTTCAACAGCCGGGGTGGGAGTCGGGGCGGAAACATCCAGGCCCCACTCCTCCCAGGATTAGGCTTACAGAACCAGGAACCAGGCAATCAGCCCCATTCTGTGCAGAGGGAGGGAGGGGACAAGAGGAAGTTGCAAATCCCGAGCAGAGGTGACCCCACCAGCTCTGTGCCAGCACGGAGCCTGTGGAGGGTCGGTAGGGCACTTGCTTCTTAGGTCATTTCAGCTATATAGTCATACTTTTTCTCTCTCTCTGTCTCTCCCTCCAACTTCCCCTACCCTCCAGGCCCAGGCCTGCCAATCCTCTGGCGTCAATATTGATAAATACAATCACTTCCCTCTAGGCTGAGTGCTTGGGGGGTTCCCCACCCGGCCTTGGCTTCCTCCCAAAGTAAACTGTTACTTCCAGGACAGGAACCCAAGGGCTGCCCCAAAAGACTCTTCCCGGCCCTTGGTAGCTGGGCAAATATAAGTACATCCAGGAATTTCCTCATGACAGGAGTCTCTGATGGTGAATGCAGGCCTGAGAGCTAACTGTTCAGGGAACACTGTGGGGCGGGAAAGTCACCATGACTCTCATAGCCGCTTTTCCCACCTGCAGGATGGAGCCACAGATTTCCCAGACAGCCGTCAGGGTGCTCAGAATGGATTATATCAGAGAAAACACTCCCTGATTAGTGGAAGGAGGCGAGGAACAGAGTAGGTGCCAGGGGAAAAGATCCTTCCGATCTCATGTCAGTTCAGAGTTTATATTTTTTCGCTTAAAAGACATTCTGATGGCTACCTTGTGGGTCATCACTCATAACTTAAGGTTTGATGCATGCCCACATTCATAGCAGCACTAGTCACAACAGCCAAGAAGTGGAAGAAATCCATGTGTCCATCAGCTGAGGAACAGATAAGCAAAATGTAACATATACATACAATGGAATATCATCCAGCCTTAAAAAAGCAAGAAAGTCCTGACACATGGATGATGTCGTTGAATTCTGAGGAACATACACAAAGTGAGATAAGCCCGCCACCAAAAGATAAACATGATATGATTTCACTTATATGGGGGATCTAAAGTAGTCAAATTCACAGAAACAGAAGCTAGGATGGTGGTTGCCAGGTGCTTGGGGAAGGGCAGGAAGGGATGTTGTTTAATGGTTCCAGGGGCTGGAGGAAGGACAGGAAGGGTTGTTGTTGGTCCAGGTTCAGAGTTACAAGATGAAAACATTCTAGAGATGCTCCACAACAATGTGAATATACTTATTAACACACTACTGAACTGTACCTCTGGACCTGGTGGTACAGTGGAGAATCCACCTGCTGGTACAGGGAACACAGGTTCAATCATTGGGCTGGGAAGATTCCACATGTCTCAGAGCAACAAAGCCTGTACGCCACAACTACTGAAGCCTACAGACTCTAGGGCCTGAGAGTCACAACTGCTGAGCCCAAGCACCCTATATAGCCCACACTCCGCAACGAGAGGCCACCACGATGAGAAGCCCATGTACTGCAATGAAGAGCAGTCCCAGCTCAGCACAACTAGAGAAAGCCCGTGTGCAACGACGAAGGCTCAGCACAGTCAGAAAAAAAAAATACTGAACTGTTATCTTAAAAATGGTTGAGGTGGTAAATTTTGGATTATGCATTTTTTTTACCACAATGTTTTGTTTTCTTTTTTGAGTTTTGAGTTAAGTTTTATTTGGGGCAAAATGAGGACTGCTGCCTGGGAGGCAGTATCTCAGATAGCTCTGAGACTGCTCCCTACCACAATGTTTTAAAAAACCTTATTGGATGGGTAAACAAACCCACACCCCGCTGAACTCAACATAGCTGAAGTTGCTAGGGAGGTCTTCCAAGTCTCTGAAAAGTCCAGGGAAGAAGAAATCACAGAAGATGGGGTGGGGGCAGGGTAGGGAAGGGGTGGACAGGCCCACAGCCTGTAAACACTACAGAGGGGCTCCACAGTTCCGAGAGAGGGACAGAGCTAAGATAAGCACTGTTCCCACCAGTGAGTCCCCCAGGACTCGAGCTCTCTGAGGGCAGGAATCCTGGTCGCTTGGGGTCTGGAGATCGGCACACACACACCGCATGCTGGATTGTAAACACGCCCGGCACAAAGACACACACAAGCACTACTGAGTCAGTGAGTGAAGATGTGATTGAGAATATGCGTGAGCAGGCGAGCGGCATGTCTGGGGAGGTATGAGGAGACGGGGAGCTTCCCTGGTGGTGCAGTGGTTAAGAATCCACCTGCCCGTGCAGGGGACACGGGTTTGATCCCTAGTGTGGGAAGGGTCCACATGTCGTGAGCAACTAAGCCCGTGTGTGTCACAACAAGAGAAGCTACCGCCATGAGAGGCCCACACACCACAACGAGAGTGGCGCCCGCTCGCCGCCACTGGAGAAAGCCCGTGCACAGCAATGAAGACCCAAGGTGTTCAGTGCAGCCTAAGTAAATAAACAGAGGATCTTCAAAAAGAGGGCGAGAGAAGAGGAGGAAGAGTGGTTACTGGAGGGGCTGGCTTCTCACGCAGACCTGCAGAGCTGGAGAAGGCAGGGGACGGGCCGCTGACCTCTCATTGTAGAACTGCAGGGTGTTCTCGCTGTACAGTGGCCCTGCCAGCTGGCGGATCATCTGCAGCGACTTCTCACGCTCGTCCAGTCCCAGCATCCGCACGTGGGCCACGAGCCAAGCCACGGCGCACACTGCCAGACTGCATACCTTCCCCTTGATATTATCCGTGATTTTCTGGGGGAGGGAGAAAGAGTGACTGGGGCCTCCCGCCCCCTCCCTGGCCATCACTTGCCCCGGCCTCCGTGAACAACTTAGCAACGCAGTGGGGTCCGGGGCCACGTCCACGCCTCTTTTCACCACAAGTTTGATTTCCCTAAAGTCACCTGGTGAGGGGAGGTAGCTAAGACTATGACTATAGGGGAGACCAATACCCACACAAGGGCTCCTGGAGGAAGGGTCTTTTTGTTTTTATGAAATGTAGCAAACTACTAAAGACTGTCTGTGCCTTAGGGAGAGGGAAGGCTGCTGAAAAGGGGGGCTACCTGGATGGACTCAAAGGCTAGCACCCCATTCTCCCAGGCGTTGAGGATTTCCAGGATGGCCGCCGAAATGTTGAGACAGGCTTCGTGCCACTTCATCTGCCTACACGGGGATGGGACAGGAGGAAACACCACGGGGGTGGGGGACGTGGTGGGGCTGAGGGAGGGGGTCCAAGCCTGCCTCCCCTCACCCCGGGAGCGGGCGCCCAGCCACTGACACCAGCTTTATCTCCGAGGAGTTGTTGAGCAGAGCAACCAGGGACTCCACCTTGGTGGAGTCGGGCCGGAAGCAAGGGTGATCTGGGTTCAGGATTTTGCCCTCCTCGGGCATGCACGTCTGCATCCAGGTCTCAAAGAAGAACACCTCTCCGCCTGCGCTGGACTCAGACAGGATCACCTGAGAGAGGAGGGGGCGGGGGGCGCAGCAGCCTGTACCCGAGGCCCTGCCCGCTCGGGCCTGAAGAGCGGGGGACTGACTGGTCTGAGGGAGGAAGACGGGGCTCTGCCGCCACCTGGTGGCGTGTGCGGCACTGAAGGACTCGGGACACGACCAGGGGGCATCTGCCGACTGCGCGCTGGCACCTGATTTTTTGCAGCCAGGAGCACCAACTGGCCTGGGACGCAGATGTGGGGCAAGGGTGAGGCGGGAAATGTTATCGGTTGTTTCTGTCTCCTTTGTATCCACTTGGTGCCCCAATGCTGACCGCTCCCCCTCACTCACCTCTGAGCCATAGGTCTGGGCCACGTGGCACAGCATGAGGAAGGAGATGTCAAACAGCAAGGCTCGAACCGAGGCCGCCTTGGCTGTGAAGGATGAGAAGGCTGACCCCGCAGCCTCAGGCAGGGGCCCGAAGGCCTTGGCTGGGTTGCCAGGGGCTCAGGAACTACCTCAAGGAAGGTCAGGGAACGAGTGGCTCCTTCAAAGCTCTAAGGCTCAGAATCCTTTTCTTGAGTTTCAATTGGAACATCATCCCTTCCTTGGAACCAAAGACTCCTAAACCCTCCTTCCCCCGCAACACCTGACCAACTCATCATGCTGATGGAGAGAGACAGACGGTGGTCTGGGAAGAATGCTCTTCCCAGCATGACCCTCTTTTGAGGCTCCCCAAAAGCTCCAGTCAGTCATCCCCAGGGGAGCACACAGCCTCCCCAGGATAAGCAAGGGCATCCTCTTCCTCCCCTGTTCTCTCCCCCACACCCCTCCTTCAGCGCCCCCGGGTCTGCAGTGTGCAGAGCTGACTTACTGCTCTCTTCGCTGCGGTGTGTCGTGAATTCATTCAAACTGTGGAAAAAATGGAGACAGGTGGCATCAACCAGGGTCAGGGCTGAGCAGCGGCTGGGGTCGGGGGCTCTGCCCACTCAGAGGCGATCACTGGAGTCTGAATTGTGGGTTCAACTTAAACGGAACATCACTGCTACAGAAACAAGAACTCTTTCTATTTTTAAAAGATTCCAAGCCCTAGAGAACTGCTCGCTGAATGGAGCCATGTTCTATACATCAAATTCCAGGTCAATCCAAAAGGTCAGCAGAATGTGAGAGCCTCTTATTAATAAGTGGGTATGAAAGCAATCTCTCCCCATCCACTGTTCAACACCTCGACGCCTCACCAAACACCTCCTCCGCACCAGCCTTGGCTGAAAAGCAAAACACTCTTCACTTTAGAAACCCAGCCCTTGCCCAGTCTCCAGCCAGGATGCTCTGCCCTGGCATCTCTAGGGAGACAGAGCCTCCAGTGCCTTGCCCTTCTTCTGCCCTCTCCTCCTTTGGACATGCCTCCCAGACCCTGGTCAGGGGCTCGACCTTCCTTACTTGATGAATTTCCGGGCGAAAGACTTCAGCTTCCCAGTGGCAGCAGCAGCAGCCAGCAGCAAGTCCAGGCTCTTCCCGGACAGCATGTGGCCCAGGACGCCCAGCAGCCCCTCCGGGGATTTGGAGTGGTCTGCATCCATCGTCTGGGGACAAGACAGGACACCAGTCCTGGAGAACACTGAACTTCCCAGATACAGCCTAGCTACAGTTTCTCTCTCTGCCTGTCTCCATTCTATGGGAGACCACGACCTGCAATTTACCCTACAACTGACTCCAAGCTGGAAATCTGTTCCCTGAATCCTCTGCTCTCGGATCCACCCTTCTCAACTAGACTGGGGTGAGGGCAGTGGGGTCAGTGGGAGCCAGACTGGGGTCTCTCTGCTGGGAGACTCGGCACTGTTTCCACATAAGCAAGCAAAGCACCCACCACAGCACCAGGCTGACTGGCAATGTTCAACACACACTCATTTCCAGGGCACTTCCCTCACATTCCCCCTTTCTCGGCTTCCAAAGAAAATAGGAGAGGGAGAGGTCTGGAGCCTGTCTACCCATCTGGCAGTAGAGGGAACCTGGAAGGAGGGAAGGGCTGACCCTGGGGGTCAGAGATGGGCGAGCTCACTTTCAGGATGTTGGTGACTGTAGGCTCCGCGCGGAGGATCAGTCCAGGGTTGGGCTGGATGTTGGCATTTTCATCTGACTTCAGCTGAGGGGCATGCTCCCGATCTGCTTTGCTGTAGTCAGGACCAGTTGGTCCAGAGAAGGTAAGAGGAACAGAGATGAATTCCTGACACATACCCTAGTCCAGTCCAGAAGCAAAGGAAGGTGAGAGTTAAAACCCTAACAGTGCAAAACCCTGGTCTGCAGAAATCAGTGTCTCTTGTTCCTGGCAACCCTAGGCATGGTTCCTGTCACCCACACTCAAACTCTAGACAAGAGAGAAAAGGCATCCAGCGGCCCAGGCTGGAACCGAGGCAGGTGGTCAAGGGGCCCATGGGCCAGCCCGGGGAGTGCCCACTTACCGCTTGGCCATTAGGTTGTTCATACTGGCCTCAGACAGAAGCCCCTGCTTGCTACATTCTTGCAGTAGGAAATTTGTACAGTCACAGCTGTGAGGGAAAAAGATGATGGGGGATGGGATACAACATCCCTGGGGCCTATTGCAGGGATTACTGGGTGGTGGGGGTGGGAAATGAGGCCCTGCCTGACATCCTCCTTTGTTTAGGAGGAAGAACACTGTGAGCGCCTGAGGGAAGGCAGAGGGGCTCGGGCATTCGGCAACCATGGAGTGGCTGCCTCCTGCCCCTGCCAAGGGGAACGGACAAGCAGACGGTCCCCTGGTACTGACGGGCACAGAGGGCAGGGGGAGAGCCAGAACTCCTTCCAGTCAAGCCAGGTGAGCAGGGGGCCTCGTACTTGCAGCGCTGGTCAGCTTTGTCCAGCAACGGTGTGAGCTTCAGCAGGAACTCGAAAGCTGTATTGACATCCTCAGTAAAGTCCTGCCAGAGTAAAGTAAAGCCAGAAACTGCCATCTGGCGTCCAGGTCCTCCGCTCCGCCCACGGCCTGCACTGTAGGCTCACAAGGACACACTGCTGGGTACAGCAGCCAACAAGTCGGCTGTACCCACCGCTGGCCTCCAGCGACCCAACGGGAATAGTACGGGGCATCACTGTCCTGCACCCTGGCCCTGGGACTCTGGCCCTGGGCATCTCGGGCACCCTCATCTCCAGAGCAGCCTGGCTGCCTTCTGTGCGTGGATGCACAGAAGCTCAGGGATGGCCCCGCCTCCAGCCCAGCCCCTCACAAGAATGCACTGCTGCCCAGCTCGGGCCAGTGACCCTTCCCTGGCCCTTTTCTCCAGAGCAAAACCAAGGATTCACCTGTCCCCATGCCCACTCCCCATTTCTTTTTTCTTTTTTTTTTCTTATTTGACTGCGCCGGATCTTAGACGCAGCACATGGGATCTTTAGTTATGCATGCACACTCTTAGTTACAGAATCTAGTTCCCTGACCGGGGACTGAACCCAGGCCCCCTGCATTGTAAGTGTGGAATCTTAGCTGCTGGACAACCAGGAAAGTCCCGCCATCTAATTTCTTTCACTCACCTTGTCCCCATGGGAGTATTTCTTCAACTTCACCAAAACCTGTGGAATCTGAAGGGCGAGGTGGGAGAAAAACAGAAAGCTCAATCTCCTCTCTCTCACCCAGAACGAAAGGCACACTCCCTCAGTCCCCCTGCTCTGGGTGGAGTCAGGGCCGTTCCTGCCCTGGGAGTGACAGCATTCTAAGAGCCAGATGAGACACGCCGGCGCTCAGCCTCAGAGCCCAGGAGCCTCGCTCCCATGGCTCAGTGAGGAAGTGCCCTTTGTGAAAGTGGGCTCCCAGAGCTGCCCCGCGCCAACATGGCTGAGGACTGCTCTCATGGCAGCTGTGTGCCAAGACACGGAAAAGGCCTGCCAAGCGGACCGAAGAGCCTTGGGGCTTTTGGATAATGGGGGGGGACCGGGCAAGCTAGGCATGAAGCTGGAGGGGAGAAACCTGGGGCAAAGGTCCAGGGGGTTGCCGCCCCTCCTGAGAACTGTCCCAACAGTGGCTCCCATAGCCCAGGTACCTTGAGGAAGGTGAAAGCTGTCCACTTGAGCTCCCCTGTGCCCTCAGGAGACTCGATGAGCCCCACAAAGCAGGCTTTCCAGATCTCCAGAACAAAGAGCGGGGTGGGGATATGCTGTGGGAAGACCCGAGGGTGAGCAAGAAGAGGGTGCCCATCCCACCCCAGTCTCCTGACCCTTGGGGATCCGGCAGGTCAGAGCCAGGCAGCAGAGACACCTCCTTGACTTCTAAGCAAGAACCAGGGATGGTAGGTGAGATGGCAGAGCCACTCCACCTGACAGAACCACCAGGCCTGGGATCCATCACCCACCGCAAAGCAGGAGAAACCCTGTATCTCCCAGTGAAGACCAGAAGAATCCTCCCTCCTGCTCCGCGTGGCCGGCCTGCTGTGGGGACAGAGAACCACCCTGGCCTCCCACCTGCATGCGTTTCACCATCATCAGCTGCTCCACCAGGGGCTGCGTCTCGCCGGTCAGGTTCATGGTGCCCTCGAGCAGGACCACTGCGTGGACTGTAGGGAAGCCAGTCTTGTGCAGCTGCTCAGAGTGCATGGACAGCATGGTGGGGATGCTGAGGGGACAGATACAGGGGACAGGTGCAGGGAGCAAGGCAGAGTTGGCGAGGCGGTGAGAACAGAGGGGTGGGGGCCAGGGGCCACGTCTGCCCTCCCACCCCCGCGGCCTTCCCTCCCTCCCTTCCCCAGGGTCACCCCTAGCGCCGGTACCTCCTAATGAGCGTGCCACACTGCTCAGCCTGGCTCCGGAGCTGGGGGTTGCTGAGATTGGCCAGGATCTCTCCAAGCTTCAAGAGACAATGCTCGATGGCCGTCCAGGAGGCTGGCAGAGAGAAGGAAATGCGGAGGAGGATGGGAACCCGAGGACAGGGAGAGACTGGTCCCAAACCCCAGGGCCCACAGAACCACATGGGGAGGCTTCCCCTAAGGATGGCATGGAGGCTGGGGACCTGAGGGCAGCATGCACTGTTTCCAGAAGGGCGGGTGAGCACTAATGATGAAACCACCAGAAACGATTCCCAGAGGCCCGACTTTGAGGGGTCCCTTGCAGCTGACTTCAGAGACGAGGCACAACAGAACACAGGCAGTGACAGAGAGAAGTCCAGTGGCCGGAACAAGAAGGTGGCCCCGAGTCATTTCAAGAGTGGGCCAGCCTTGCAAGTGGCTACTGCTCTCCACCCCAGTCAGGCTGGATTCCTAAACAGCCTCTGTGTTCAGCCGCTCCCTATCTGGGCCTTTGCTCTCGCTGGGCCCCTCCACTCACCTCTGCCTCTCATACTCTCACTGTCCTTTAAGTCACTGTTCAAGCCCCAGCTCTTTTAACAATTTACCCAACTGGTCCAACCCACTGATATCCTACTCCTAAATGCCTGAACTCATGATCTACACTGTATAGTTTAGCACTTAATTGTAAGTCATTTATCCTAATTAACACTTTCAGAGGGTCAAATGAAGAATAATGGCACCAACTAGCCCATTAACCTCCATGTAGCATGGGGGGGGGGGGGGGGAGAAGAAAAAGATAAGACCTGAGAGCCAATAAAATTAAGTCAAAAATTCATTCATTTTTCAGCCAATAAACATTCATCAAGTGCTCACGATAGATAAGAAACCGTCCACAGAGCCCATTTTTTCATAGTGATCATCTTTCTGGACTTCTCACAGGCAATAAACCATATTTTCAGAAGTGATAAATACACGAATCCTAGAACCAGTTCTTCAACCAGGTCCTAAAGATCTATCTGGGTGTAACCCATTCCAGCACTCTCATTACAAAGAACAAGAGTTCCTTCCGTGATCCCAAGCCTCATCAGCAAGACTGTGGTCTCTGGGCCCCATGTCCAGCAATACCTGTCTTCCCTCCCACCAGGTGATCTGTCTGATCCCCAGGCTCTGGAGGGTTCCAGGATTTAACATCTGCACTTGAGTTGAGAGGCAAATGGCACAACAGGCCCGACAGCAGACCGGTACCACATTTAAAGGGATCTTTTAGGCAACACTCGAACACAAACATCATTTGCTTTCAGAGGATGAGTAACATGAAGACAAACACAAGGATGGATGGTGTGCTTGTCTGCTCATTTTTTCCACGTATACTAGATACTAGCCTTGCTCCCCACTAGCAGGTATGCTCGTTGAGGGCAGGGACCCTGCCACATGCTCCTTTGGTAGCCCCCCGCCCCCCACCCCCAGCACCTGGCACAGTGCTGGGCATACAATAATGCTCAGTAAATACCTGTTGGTTGATTGGCTCGGGTGCCACCCTGCCCAAGTCCCTGGGATGTATGCAATGCTTATGGGGAGAAAAAAAAGGAAGTGGGATGATTTCAGATCCTCCTGGAAAAAAGTGGGATGGCATCCTGCCTCTCCCCTCTCAGTTAAAGACCCGGCTATGGGAGTGGTGGCGGGTGGGGCTCAAGGAACCAGGGGACATACAGGCCTCCTCCAGTTTGGCGATATGGAGCAGGGCCCGGTTCTTGGTGCTGCTGAGAGTCTTCTCCAGGCGTTGCAGGCACATAGCAAGCTGCTTCTCTCCGGCTGCTGGGGTGCCAGCCTCCAGCCCCTCCCGGAGCCGCTCTGCAGAGGCTGCAGTACAGCGCAGCAGCCAGTGGAGGGCGCTGAGCAGGGCCCGGCACAGCCCGATGCACTCCTCCGCTTTGCCATGACAGCTACCAGGAAAGGATGCAAAATCTGTCTCCGCTCCAAAGGCTGAAATACGACCCACACCCATGTTCCCCAGAGTGCCTGGCCCTCCCTTACTAGGGAAGAGACTTGGGAAGCTAGCAAAGTCCTGGGGAAGACTGCCCTGTCGACTTCCACTGGGTAAGATTTCAAATGAGCTACTCCAAATAGAGCAGAGGCATTTTAGCCCTAAGAGAGTAAGTAGAAAAGATGGGGATGGGTGGGTGCGAAGAGCAAGTGGGGGAGAAGTGTGGGAACCCACAGAGATGGTTTGAGCCTGCATGCCAGGAGCTTCTCCTTTACACTCAGATGATGCTGGAAGGTTGCAAGCCCCTCGCTCCTGCCATTACCTCAGTCGGTCACAAAACATGTCCATGATATCCAGCAAAGCCTGAACACACAGGTCCCGGGAAAAGTCATCAAACTGTGGAGAGAACAGAGGCGATGCGATGGAGTATCCCGGTCACCCCACATCCCCGTCTCCCACATGAGGCAGCTGGCACCTTCAGGAGCCCTGCTCATCTTTCCTCCAACCATAAGATCCACACTCGGCATCCTTTCAGTGTTGGAAATTGGCTCCTAATTGCCAGCCCCCACTCTCTAATGGAAGGCGGCCATGCCAGCCAGAGGGACGCTGTGCTCACGGCCCAGCCCCAGAGGTCACATGATCAGAGCAGTCAAGGAGGTGGGGCCCCATATGTCACCGTATCTCTGTCCCCCGCCCCCCAACCCAGGCTGTGAGTGGCTGTGGTCGTACCTTGCTGATAGCTGTGAGAACGGAGGAGTAGGACACCATCTGGAGGGAAAGAAGAAAGATAAAGTTCAGACAACGGGTATGTGCAATCGAGAGGAACAAACATTGACACTTAAAGTTGCTGCAGCTATCTGGAAATCTCAACCCCTTCAAGAGGCCTTCCAAAAGCCCCAAAGACAGGCAGTAACACCAGGCATTGTGCCCATCCCTGCTTCTGTCAAACTCACTGTGACGGACAGCACCAGCATAAATGCACCAAGAAGATCATTTGGGAGATTCAAAGGGGTCATGTTTCATGCCCTCCTGCCACTCACTGTTCACCACACAGCACAAGGTTTGATTGCTGGTGGGCAGAAGAATGGAAACACGTGAGGTCATGATACTGCTACTACTCCTACCAAGAGTGATTTTATTTGGACAAAAACTGGAGACATACAAACTGTTCCCACAGTGAACAGGTAGCATTTACACTTTGAAATCGGTAGTGGATTTCATTACACACACGCATTCTCTAGGACGCCTCTGGGACACCACCCAAAGCTGAAATCCTCCCTTGAGTGCTCTAAGCAATCCCTTTAGACCCATCATGACACCGTGGACACCTGCTGCCCCACCAAACTAGAAGCTCCTTGAAGACCGTCTACGTGTCTTCATTCTACAATGTCTGCAGAACGAATACATAAAAACACACCCTCAGAGCAATATTTCCCAAAGTAGCTTCCAAAGCTGCACTGTCCAACAGGGAAGCCACCAGCCAGCCACACATGGCTGTTTAAGTTTAAATTAGTTAAGTAACATTACAGATTCAGGTCCTTAGTCATACTAGCCTCATTTCAGGTGCTCATCAGCCACATGGGGCTAGTGGCTACTGTACTGGACAGTACAGATATAAAACATTTTTTTTAGTATTTTTATTTATTTATTTGGCTGCACTCGGTAGAATATTTTTATCATTGTAGAAAGCTCTATTGGGAGATGTTGCTCCAAAGGGTCCTTAAGATGTTAAGGAATTTTATACATGCACACACATACACAGAGCTTCTGCATGAAACGAATCTGAGAAACTCTGAAATAAACATACACAAAGAGCTATCTTTAAAGTAAAGGATTCTTTCAGTAAAGAGCTTTCTTTGCTGTAGTACTCCTCTTACCCATTAATGTAACTTGTACACAGTGAAAATCTCTAAGATCACTGGAGGTGATACAAGCAATATTTTTCCAACTTACTGACCAAAGAATCTCATTTAACATAACTGCAAGGCATATTTTGCAAAATGCCACCTGAACAGTGAGCTCCCTGAGAATAGAAACAGTGTTAAATTTATGTTTCCCCAGAACTTAGCCCTAGGACTATGACATAGTAGGTCCTCAGGAAGTTTTTATTGCTTTTGATTGACGAATTCTAGTAACTAGCATTCTAAAAAAAACTTTTACCTTAACACAATTTTCTATTAGTAAAACCTACTTATCACCATTATAATATCAGAGATGTAGTTCAAAAGAAATAATCTGGCCTGAATGAAACCAAACTTTACCAGGAGCTTTTAAGTTGTCATATTTTAAAAAAAATAATTATAAAAAATAATAATAATAATAATTACAGCATGCTGATCAAATATGAATAAGACTACAGAAAATAGTTCCAACTCTACACTCAAAATCAGTGGCAAAATATATCAAAATAAAAAGCAGAATACAATGATAGAAACTGTCAGGCTAATCACCTGCCTCATAGAGGAAGAAAAATTTCCAAAGATTTAAAAGAAAGCTAAGTCACCCTCAGTGACTCAGTATGGTGAATTTTACATGCTTGGCAATGCCTTCCATGTATAATTTCTCCATCACGTGAACAGACTGCTCTCCGTTCAGACATTTTTTAACCAGTATTCTTGGATAAAGAGGAGCACAACACACAGAGGACTTAAATACACAAATTAGTGTTTAGTGCCACTCTCAGCGGGTCCTGCTGTGAAGCCATAGTTGGTGTCTGACAGTGGCCAGAAAGTTGGGAGCCTGCCTGGGCAGGATGACTGTAACGTTCCAGGCGAGTGTTTGTTTATTTATAACTGATGTCCCCATAGCAAGAGCTTGGCAGTGAACTGAACCTTGCTGGATACCGACCTGAAGGGGGAGCTGGACATTCCCACTGGAAACTGACCCCAAACTACAAGAGGAAACCCCCAAATCTGTACGTTTAAGGGATGCCATCAGTTACTGTGAATTTATAATCTCCAAATTGAGAATTCTGTTCGGTAAATTTCTGCTAACAGTATCAAGAGAGCCTTGCTACTTTAGAGACCTAAAAATACTTCCCACATGGTGAACTGTTTTTCACAGCAGGACTTATAACCTATCCCAGTCCTAATATATCTATCAACACAGAAGCTCTAACCTACCACCAGCCCCCAAGACTGGAGCCCATCTACAAGGCCCAGAGCACACCTGGCCAGCCCAAAGGGACCCTGCAGCTGCTCTCTAATCCCCTCTCTCTTCACATTCTATGCCCTCAACTGCTCCTAAGTAGCACTGGACCAAAGAGCCTCTTGACTCTGAGGGGAGAATAAATTACTAATTTTGCACTGCACTTTTTAAGTCAGGGAGGTCTTTCAAATATATTTATTTCTCACTCACTGGTACTTCAGCCTCCACCCTCTCTTGCCTTTCCCATCAGTTTACATATCTCAAGATTCTTCTATTTTTACAAGAACCTCCCACAGACCCTACACTTCCAATTAACTACCACACTCTCTTCAATCATAAGGGTTCTCGACCCTCTACCTCCCCAGCTTCCATTCTCAATGTGACCCACTCCAATCACTTCTGTCCTTATCACCACTGCGTGAATCTCTCATTAAGCTCATCAACAAACTTGTTGTCAAATCCCATAGATACTTCTCAGTTCTGATCTCACTGACCTCTCAGCAGCATCTCACACTGGGGAACACCTCCTCATCCTTCAATCCTCTCCTCCCTGGGCTTTTCTTTTTTTCTTTCTTTTTTTATATTTTCTTGGCCACACTGCACAGCATGTGGGATCTCAGTTCCCCAACTAGGGATCGAACCTGCACCCCCTGGAACGGAAGCTCGGAGTCTTAACCACTGGACCGCTAGGGAAGTCCCCCTGGGCTTTTCTTAATATCACACCTTCTTGCTTTCCTTCGTTCCTCACTGGTCCCTTCTTTGAACATTCCTATGAGGAATTATTTTCTTATGTATGTTCCTGAAATGTGACTGGTTCCTCAGAAATATGGCTTGGGTCACTTCTTTGTTCCCTCTGCATGCTCTCTCTGGGTAAATCTCATCCATGCCCATAGCTTCAATTATCACCTGCAGCTGACAACTCCTAAACTGCCACTCCAGCATCAACCTCTCCTTCCGCGTCTCCAACACTGATGTTCAACTGCGTACTGAATGTCTACTCCTGGACAACCCACACAGGCACCTTCCGTGAAATGAGGTCAGAATCAAATAAGGCATCTCCAACCTTACCTGCAACCAAACCCTGAAAATGGTCCTGCTCTTCTCCCACTGTCTCCCTGAGATCCCATCAGCCATCTGATATCCGCATCAGAAACTGAGACACTAGCCTTGACTTCTTCCTCTCCTGCACACCCTTCATCCAATTAATCACCAAACCCTCTCAGTACCACTTCCTAAATTGTTCCTAAATTTATCTTTTTTTTTTCTGCTGCCACTTCTCAAGTTTAAGCCAGTATCATCTTTTACCTAAATCACTGCAACAGCAGAAATCAGGGGCTGGAAAATGACAGCTTGCAAGCTAAATCTGGTTCATCACCTTTTTTTGGTAAATAAAGTTATGTCAGGGCACAGCCTCATCCATGTATTTATATGTCACCAGTATGTGCTTCTGAGCAATAATGATAGAACAGTGGTAACAGAGACCATACGGCCAGCTAAGCTGAAAGTATTTACTATCTGATCCTTTACAGAAGAAGAAAAAAAAAAGCCACACTAAACTGTCTCTCTGCCTTCTGTCTTACCTCCCTCCAGCTCATTCTTCAAACTACAACCGGAGTGATCTCTCCAAAATTAACCTACAAATTCCCCAAATCCACAAAGTCGAGGAAACTCCAATCAAAATGCAATAGGCTTTTTTAAGGATTTAACTTGATTTTAAAATCTGACTGGAAAAGAAAAATGCCTGAAAACAGCCAAGAAATTTTTGAAAAATAAAACAACTAAGGGAATACTTGCCTAACAAGAATCAAAAATGCTTCAAAGGTATAGTAATTAAAATAGTAAAGCAACAGTCCAAGAAAAGACAAATATGTTAATGAAATACACTAGAATGTCAAGAGATAGACTCGTCTATCAGAGAATTTAAGATATAAAAAAGAATGGCTTATTCAATTAAAGTTAAGCTAATTGTCTATCTATTCAGAAAAATAAATTTGGATCTCTTCCTCATATCAGAATAAATTCTAAATGGGTTAAACAAAGTGAAGTGTTGGCAGAAATGAAAGATTATATTTTGATCCTTGGAGTAGGGAAGCCCTTATGAAAGACAAAAGTCATATAGAGGAAAAAAGGCAATTAAATCTGAAAACAAACACATTTTTAAAATTCTAGGGAACACCCTGGTGGTCCAGTGGTTAGGACTCTCTACTTTCACTGCCAAGGGCCTGGGTTTAACTCCTGTTTGGAGAAATAAGATCCTGCAAGCCACGTGGCACTGCACTCCCCACAAAAAATATAAATAAAATTCTGCATGCTGAGAAAAGAAAACAAGTTTAAAAACTGATAGAAAGAAAATTTAAAACATAAATAACAGACAACAATTACAAGATACAACATATTAAAAGACACAAAAATCAGTAAGAATTCTTAGGGTGATAAAAATGGTCTGAGTTTACTGCGGTAATGGTTGCACAATTCTAAATATACTAAGAATCAGTGAACTGGACACTTTAAATGTACAAAATGTATGGTATGTGATTTATGGGCTTCCCAGGTTTCTCAGTGGTAAAGAATGTGCCTGCCAAGCAGGAGATGCAGGTTTGAACCCTGGGTCAGGAAGGTTCCCTGGAGAAGGAAATGGCAACCCACTCTAGTATTCTTGCCCGTGAAATCCCATGGACCGAGGAGCCTGGTGGGCTACAGTCCATGGGGTTGTAAAGAGTCAAATACGACTAAAGCGACTTACCACTTATGTACATACACAAAATTCTTACTTAAAAAATAAAGAAAACAAACTAATGATAGAAAAATGGGCAAACAAAATTCGTTAAGTAATTCACAGAATGTATACAAAGAGCCAATAAGCATATGAAAAAATATACTCATCATCACAATCGTGGATATACATCTTATAATATGTTGTAATTTTTTGTCTCTCTGGAAAAAAATGTTAAAAAGATGTTAAAAGATTCAATGCTGGAAAAGGTGTGGAGAAATACTCTCAAGCACTAGGGAGCAGGTGTAAACTGACAGAATCATCTTTTGAGGGCAATTTGCAGGATCTATTATAATTTAACACATGTGCACTCTTCAAACCAGCAACTCCATCTCTGTGTATCTATTCTAGGGAAACAGTGCCAGATATGCAGAGAGGTTAAGTATAAAAACATCCAAGGAAACACTGATTATAATGGTAAAAAATTCAAAACAACCTAAATTAAGTATATATGGAACAGTATGCAGCAGTTAAAAAGAACAAGGTAGGAAAAAAAAAAAAGAACAAGGTAGGGACTTCCCTAGTGGTCCAGTGGTCAAGAGTCTGCCTTCCAATGGAGAAGACACAGGTTTGATCCCTGGCTGGAGAACTGAGATCCCACAAGCCAAGGGGAGCCCATGAACCACAACTAGAGAGCCTGCAACTACTGAGTCACAGTACTCGAGAGCCTGTGCTCTGCAATTAGAGAAGCCTGAGAGCCAAAACTAGAGAAAGTCAGTGCGCCACAACGAAGACCCAGCACAGCCAAAAAAAAACAACGAAGTAGATGAATATGTGCTAACATGGAAATGAGACTTGATGCCAAGAGGAAAAAGGAAGCATAAGAACTACGTGCCAACTGAGGAATACTACTCAGCAAATTTAAAAAAGGATGAACTACTGACATATACAACAACATAAAGCTCAACATTTATGTTAAAAGAAGACAGAGCATTAAGAGTTAATACTAAATACGAGTTCATTTCTATGAAATCCAAATTTAGGCAATATTAATCTATGGGTATAGAAAAAGATGCTGAAGCTGAAACTCCAATACTTTGGCCACCAGATGTGAAGAACTGACTTCTCTGAAAAGATCCTGATGCTGGGAAAGATCGAAGGTGAGAGAAGACAGGGACGACAGAGGATGAGACGGCTGAATGGCATCACCAACTCAGTGGACCTGAGTTTGAGTAAACGTGGGGAGTTGGTGATGGACAGGGAGGCCTGGCGTGCTGCAGTCCATGGGGTCGCAAAGAGTCAGACACGACTGAGCGACTGAACTGAACTGAATAGAAAACATTTAGTGGTTACAGGAAGATGGACTAGAAAGGGCACAAGGAAACTTTCTGGGAGAATGGAAATGGGTCTATCTTATTTTGGATGTTAGTGACATAGGTAGACACAGTTACTAAAACTCAAGGTTAATTGAAAGGGAAGAATATTTTAATAAGCCTTTCAGAAATGAAAGACTTATTAAAATATTCTTCCTTTTTCAAGCTAAATATCTGATGTGCAAGGCCAGATTTTCTTCATCTGAAACAGCCTATTGCAACAACTGAATGCAGAAGCAGCTATGAGAATTCAGCTGTAATCTATTAAGCCAGAATTAAAGAGATCTGCAAACATGTAAAACAATGCTACTTTCCTCACTCATTTTTGTTTTGGAAAATATGGTTACTTTTTCATTAAAACGTTACATATATTAATATACAATGGGTTTACTTTTTGTTACTTTTAAATACTAAGTATTTTTTCAATTTTTTGTTTTAATTTCTAAAGTGTTAAATATGAATAGATATAATACATATAAACAAAAGCTCTGCAGGAGTCTCAATTTTTAAGAGTATAAAATGTCCTAAGGCCAAAATTGCTACTCTAGCCATTGTTACTGTTTAGTTGCTAAGTGGTGTTCCAACTCTTTTGGGACCCCATAGACTGTAGCCCGCCAGGCTTCTCTGTCCATGGGATTTCCCAGGCAACAATGTTGGAGTGGGCTGCCATTTCCTTCTCCAGAGGATCTTCATGACCCAGGGATTGAACCCGTGTCTCTTGCTTTGGCAGGCAGATTATTTACACTGAGCCACCAGGGAAGCCCTACCCTACTCTAGCCATATCACGTCATTTTCAGTTCCTAAATATCATGTGATGTTTGTCTCCCAACTGTTGCCTATTCTTTTCTCTCTGCTTTGTACACTCTCATCAATCTCTTTGGCTAATTCCCACTCAACACTCAAGTCTTGGTTTAAACATCACTTCCTCCCTGGTTGCTCAAGCTGGTATTAGGTATCCCTCCCATGCACTCCCATAGTACTCTGTCCTATATCATAATCCCATCCTGTGATTGACTGCTTATTCACATGCCTATATTACTCACTAAATACCTGTGTGCTGGGATTAGACCTTGTTCACAGCTAAATCCCCAGGGCATATGTGAATATTTATTGATAGAGTAAATTAATGTAATATTCATCATAACCAATGGAGTATTATTATTTTCACAAGAAAACTGAGGCTCAGAGAAATGATGTGTTCAAACAAATTCACCTAGAAAATCTGAGCTGACAACTGTATTCCAAGCCTTTCACCTTCAAACCCTGTCTGGAATAGGCAGAAGAGTTTACCTGGGAACTAATGGCATACTTCAGGTAAGACAGGATGAGAGGATTGGGGGAAGGTCCAATCATGGCCTGCTCCAATAGTGCTTCTGCAAGGAGAATGACAAAGGAAGACTCAGTGTTACAACATTTCTGGGTTTAGCCCTCCCATCCTTCCTTCCTACTTCACTTAAGACCTGCTAGGTTGAGAATGTCCCAGGTGGCTCCTTTGGGAAAGAATTTCTTCATGTTGACTGCCCACTGGTAGTCACTCCATCGCTCCTTCCAAGCTTGCAAAATGGCTTGCTTCAGGTTCACCACCTTCATGATTTCACTCTGAGGAGACCGGGCCGGTAGCGGTCAGCCTTGAGGTTGGAGAAATCAAGCTAGAGAAAGGGAAAGGGATTCTGAGGAAAAGAACCGGGCGGGGGGATGGGGGGTGGAGCACAGACTTAAATGGAATGGAGTCGATATAGGAAGATTAAAGGGAAATAGAATTAGAAAGGAAAAAAAGGGGAAAGGGGCAAAACAGGGATCCTATTAGGCTATTCCCTCCTGAACCATTCTTTAAACAAGAGCAGTAAGAAGAGGGTACCAAAGGGGCTTACTACAAAGAATAAATGGGCAGTAAGGGGTTAAGCCAGCTCCGGTTGCCTAAATATGCCCTTAGCTCTGGCTGCGTCCCTCAGCCACTACTAGCCCAAATCCAGATTTCTCCCCCCACCCCATTTCCTCCACCCTCCCCAACCCTGAAACTATAATTCCCTATTTCCTTTCCATCCATCACCTCCCCAAATTTAAGCCTACCGGACAATCTAGTTCTAGATCCTAGGTGTCGCCATTTTGGCACTTATAAAAGAGCTAGCTCTCTATTGGCTGACAGTAACAAACATGAACCAATAGGAAGGCAGCGAGACACCGCTCATACCACGATGTCTTCTGGGAATTGCAGTCCCTTGGACTCAGCTAGCGCGGAAGCTGCGAGAAGCTAGTCAGCCCGCATTGTTTCTCTCCTTGAGGGAAAGACGAGTAGGAGCTGAGGATCTCGGAAACTCAGGAGGCTTAGTGGGAAAGGCTCTCAAAAGGCCTACTGCAATCAAGTTTCTTCTAGTAACGTCATTGTTGACCGAGCACTTAAATCAAATCCTGACACCCTTTCATTGCCCGCTAGTTAGTAGGCACAATAGGGGTGTGGCATATATTCATCCATAGGTTTTCTCTTTCCTGGCTTTTTTTTCCCTCCGAAACCCCCGGATTTACCAGAATTCTTCTCCTTTCCACAACTATATTCCAAAGCGACACTGAGTCTCTGTCATTTGAACACACCTCATCCACCCCTTCACCCTAAAATCTGACAGTTCTCTCAGAATCTCCTGGCACAGCCAACTGCTTGACTAAGGGAGAAGTAAGGAGGAAACTGAGATTTAGGAAATCTAAGATAAGGAAAGTCTAAAAAAAAAAAAAAAAGATAAGTCTAAGAACCTGTCACAATCAAGAGGGCCTAAGGAGACATGATGACTAAATGTAACTTGCTATCCTGGATGTGATCCTGAAACAGAAGAACCTTAGATGAAAACTGAACAATCTGAATAAAGCCCGGACTTCAGTTAATAATAATGTATCAATGTCAGTTAATAATAATGTATCAATGTCAGTCATTAATTGTAACACCTACCATACTAAGTAAGAGGTTAAAGGGGTAGGGATTGAAAGTGGGGTATATAGGAATCCTCTCTCTCTTCAATATTTTTCCTATAAATCTAAAACTAAAATTCCTTTTTAAAAAATGTTTATTAAAAGCAGTATGATTAGACTTCCCTGGTGGTCCAGTGGTTAAGAATCTGCCTACCGATGCAGAGGACACGGTTCTAGCCCTGATCCGGGAAGATTCCACCTACCGAGGAGCAACTAAGCCTGTGGGTCACAAATGCTGAGCCCAGGCTCTGGAGACCAAGAGCCACAACCACTGAAGCCCACAGGCCCTAGAGCCCATGCTCTGCAACAAAAAAAGCCACCAAAGTGAGAAGCCCACAGACCACAAGTAGAGAGTAGCCCCCTGCTCATCTGAACTAGAGAACGCCTACGCTCAGAAACCAAGGTCCAGCACAGCCAAACATAAATTAATTACTTTAAAAACATGATGTTTTGCTTTAACCTACGGAACCACATTATAGGTAATTATGTCCAGTGTTTGGAGTATTAGCCTTTCTCCAACCCCACTTCCCCAATGAGAAGCCAAAAGTAAATGCTACCCACCTCTGACTCGAACGGCTGAGCCTCTCTGCACACAGCCCTCATCCCTGTCCTGCCCTGTGGATAGATCGCCACTAACATTTACAACCAGAAGTACATTTACAACCCGAACAAGCCAGTGTCCTGCCAGCCCTATTTTCAGCCCTCCATCCCATACCACAGGGAACCTCAGATCCCCACCCATGAATCCAAGCTCCATCCATATTTCCCAGTCACCATTCTTTGGTCACCCTTTAAGTGTCAGACTCAGTTCTCAGAGGGATGAATCTGGAAGAGCAGTCCCCTCAGGCTCTGGAAGCAAACCTGCAGCTCTTGGGGCAAAAAATGACAGGATCCTGGGTGTCTGGAGCATAGTCTAAACAGGGAGACCAGAACTCCTGTTCTGAGGAAGAGAGTGCAGCTGGAGGAGACCCAGATCACATCCCTCTAAGGTCATGACTGCTCTCAGCTTCCTTCTTCCCCATAACCCACCCACAACCCCCTCCATTCTGCTCCCTTTAGTGCCTGCCCAAGCGACACCACTGGGGAATAATGTTTATACAAAACAGCTGCCAAATATGTGTAGCCAAAGCTTCCAAAGCAGGAAGGAGGGAGAACCCAGACTTCTCACACTTGACCTCCAAACTCCCCTCAGCCACACACATTGAAGCTGCCACAGACCCTGTTTCTCAGCAGTCTCTCATGTAACCGGCTTCCCTGCTTCTCCCAGGCCCCCAACTCTACCTTTACCCGCCTCCCTCCTCTTATTCCTTTTCTGTCATTGCAGCTTCCAGCTCCCCACCTTGACACATCCATGCCTCCTGCAGCTCCACTCCCATCCCACAGAGCCCAAACTGTCCTCTCGGAGAAAAGCTGTCAACCTTGTGACTGCTTCTGACTTGGTCCACATGGGAGTGGAGAATATCTGGGCCCTGAGCAGAGTGGCATTCTGAACTCAGACCATCCCCTTCTGGCAGGAAGCTGGCAGACCTCTGGGGAGGGGCTCCTCCTCCCCCACTGTACAGTGGCAGAGAGGCGGCTTTTGTCATGAGAACATCTGCCTTCCCTGTCCCCCACCTCTCACCAGCAGCTCTTTCTCTTGGTTCGGCAGGGTTTCCCCAAGGACTGGACTTCTAAGGGTTTAAAAGGACACTTTTTTTTTTTTTTTTTTTAATTTTGGCTGTGCCACACAGCTTGCAAGATCTTAATTCCTTGACCATGGATTGAACCTGGGCCCTCAGCAATGAAAACATGGAGTCCTAACCACTGGACTGCCAAAGAATTTGCTAAAAGGTTTCCCTTAATTCTGGGTAAGGGCTATTTCCAGTTTTTCTACTTTGTCCTCTCTAGTGTGTCAATTTCAGAGACTGCTTTTCCATATCCCACCTCTTTCCTCCATACCAGAATAGCTTCTAGGGCCCTGTAGGCTCTCTGACTTGCCCTCCACAAGACCGGGATTCCATGATAATCCTCCAGTGGGTGAGAGAAGAGATGCCAACATCCTCTTTGTGAGTAGAAGGAAACCCTTCCCACACACAGCCCCTCTCAAATATCCCTCTTACTTACTCCACTTTCCTGGGCTGTCTGTTTCTTCTCTCTCAGCACCGATAGAAGCTGAGCTCTCACTTCCACCCTCTTAGCCCCAAGGTCCAAGCTTCTCATTCTGCTGGCTGGTCTGGCTGGGAAAGGGGACTGGCTGGAGAAGAGGGGCAGGTAAATGCCAGCCAGCCAGGTAGAACTTCCCTAGTGATCCAGTGGCTAAGACTCTGCTTCCAATGCAGGGAGCCTGGGTTTGACCCCTAATCCAGAAACTAGATCCCACGTGCCACAACTAAGAGTTTGCATGCCCCAGCTAAAGATCCCACAGCTGCAAGTAAAGATCCCATGTGCTGAAACTAAGACCCAGCACCCTCAAATTAAAAATGAATAAAAATAAATAAATAAAAAAGCTAGCCAGGCAGAGTAACATGGCAGCACTGAAGGAGTAGCTGAAAAGGAAGGAACTAGGTCGGAGTGGGGACTTGCGGTGGGGTAAAATGCTGTGAGGAATCAGGGTGTGGGTACCCAAGGAGATGGGAACACTCCTCATCTGGGCTGGAAAGAAGTGTAAGGAAAAGTGGCAAGTCTAAACCGAGAAACTGAAATACTTGGTAAGCACGCAAGGCACAAAGGGTGTCATCATCCGTTCTCTCTATAGGGAAGAACATTTTTCTTTGGAAGCTTGCCTGGGTCCCCCCACTATGGGGAGTTAATTGGCAGCAGGTGGATGGGAAAGAAAGCAAGTCGTTCCCACACACTCCACACTCTGTACACAGCTGGCTCCAAACCAGTTCCCTCCCCTTACCCGTCCCCACATTCAGCTCCCCACTCTCTGTCTATCTGGGGGAGGGGAGGATGGAGAAGACTACAAGGTGGTCCCCCCCTCAGGGACAGCTCCTGGATCCCCCCCATTTCCGCCTCTATCTTCCCACTGCCCCCAGGAGAGGTCCAGACAGAGGCCAGCCAGGACAGTGCAAGGCAGAATCTGAACCTTTGAATCACTGAACCACTCTCAGAGTGGTTTCCTCTCTAACACCTGAAGGATGACTTCTCGCTCCACACCCTCCAGCAAGGAGGAGAAGAGAGTGCCGTGATCCTGGACCCTGGACGGCCCACTGTTCCTCCCTTCTGGCTCTGAGAGCCACTCTGGCCTCTTGGCCTCCACAGCGGCCAGTGCCATCTCTCCTCTAACTGGAGGGGGAGGGCTGTGGTGTGGCAGGTAAAGGAGACGCCCCCCCCCCCACCTCTTCTCCTGGCAAAGCAGGATGGAGGGGTTCCAGGTGGGAACCTTCTGAGACCAGAAGCTGGAAACATTTAGGGGATCTGATACTTGAGATGTATTAAGTTGTTCAAAAAGAAAGTGTCAAATGAATGGACAAAACTAGAAGAAGCTCTGAAAGACAACCTGGAGAAGGTGTCAGCTTCTTTTTCTACTTTTACTCTCAGATACCAAAAGCAAGGCTCAGCCAGGCCCGAGTCCCCTCCCTGGCTCTCTTTTTTGTGACCCGTAAGCAGGGCATCTGATGGGACAAAGGTGATTGATAGGGAGCAATAAGTGGTCACTTTACTCTTAGTTGGGCAACTGTTTGCTAATTTCTCAGTCTCTCATCTCTGCCAGCTACTGATCCCCAAATCGCATAAACTGACCTCCTTTTGTCTCCTCCTTTCCCACTATCTTTTCTTGATTAAAAAATCAGTAAGAAAGAAAAAAAAATCGGTAAGAGAGAGAAATACCTGGGTTTTATGTTCTCTTAGTTGGTGATACCTCAGTTTCTTCTTTCCAGAGTCTTTCCAGAACTCCCCAATAAGTGGGGCTGTGTCTGCGGAGTCAGGGGGTGTCTGTTGGACACCTCATCACTTGCTGACATCACCCAGGGACCAGGAGGTCAGAGGGAGATGGGAAGGGGAATTACTGAGATTACTGAGGCCCAGGCCACTGAGGGGCTCGTTCATTCCAGGGCAGGCTGACGGAGGCCTTGTTCCCATTCCCCCAAACTGTTTGTGGATTCTTGGTAGGGGTGGAGAATGTTGGGTGGGGTCTTGGCTTCCAGGATTTGGGAGAAGCTCTTCAGAAAGCTATCTGGATCCCCAGGTTTCTAGGGGTGAGACTCTTGATCAGTCCTGGGGTGCTTCCTAGCAACAGTCTGGGAGGGAGAGAAGGAATGGAAGAAAGAGAGGGAGAGGCCTGAGCATAGCTGATCCAATGGGAGCCCAAAGAACAGGCTGTTCTTGCTGCCTCCTTGGCAACCAAAGTCTAAGAGGGAGGGGGCTGTCAGACATATCCCTGCAGGGTCTCTATCCACCCTCACTTGAGCCCCACCCTCTACTCTCCCCTCGGACTCAGCCCTGAAGAGGTGGCAGGGATGGAAGGAGCAGCCTGGATAAGGGTCTTGTGGCAAGGAAGGAACACAAGCTGGGGACAAAATGACCCTGAGATGAGCTAGAAGCTTTGAGAAATGGGGGTAGGCAGGGTGAGTCGGGTGGGAAGGGGAATGACGCAACCCAGGGCCAGGGGCTGTAAGCCTAGACCAGGGCTGGATCCTGGCATCTGGCAAGATGCCTGCTTTGGAGGCAGTGTGCCCTTCACTTTGCCCTTGTCCAGGTCTGTTACCAGCCCATGTCGGGAGTGAAGGAAAGTGAGAGAGGTAAGGAGAAGGTAGGACGGCTGAACTTTCCTCTTTGAGTTCAAAGTGGCTACTCAGATCCTGGGGAAAAACAGATAGATCAGGAGGCACTTCATTATCTATGGCTCTGGGTCTAGGATTTCATAAAGTCTCCCTTGTCTAATAACTTTAGGGCCTTTCATTAGATGTGGTGGGGAAGCCAGAATGGAGGGGAGAGAAAAACCATAGTGCTTTCACTTTCCCACTCTGGACTCCATCACCCTGCCCTAATCCTAACTGTCGTTAGACCTCTCCACCACCTCCTGGTTCTGGCTGATGGAGGCAGAAGATACAGTAGCTCATCTCATAAATGTGCCTTATACACTGAGATTATCTCCCAGCTCCCTGGGCAACCCAGTCCCAAAGGACTGTTTCCACACATGGCACATCCTGCACCCTGGGCACTGCATGGCACAGCCCTGCCCCCTGCCCCAATATATCAGCCAAATCCCATCACTGAGGAGGTGGCATCGATTGGCAGACAGCCACCCTCAGTGCTCCTCCCACTGCACGCTGCCTTGACCCT